AATATCTTTTTTAGAAACTTGGCCTCCAATTTTGCTAAAAATAAAATATAGTTTACTTGGATATAAAAAAGAAAAAACTTGATTATATAACTATATTACTCGATAATATAATATAGTAAAAAAGATTCGAAAATATTCTTATAATATTAAATAACATTTCTCCCTATCTCATTATAAACTCTTTCTTAGAAAGATTTGATAGACTTTATATTTTAATTGATTTAAAGCGAAATGTTATAATGAAATTTAAAAAACTAGTTATAATAGAAAAGCAGTTTTTTGCTTTATTCTTTATAACTTTGGAAAAGCTTGCTTTTATAATAAAATTATTAGATATAATAATAATGATATTCTTAAAGGAAAAAGTTACTTTAAAATTAAGGAATTTGTTAATATTAGATATTATATCTTATATAAAAAATGATCTTCTTGAATGGAAAAATAAGTTTCTATTCTGAGATCAGAATTTTTGGGAAAATTCATATAATTCTAGTTTCAATTCGCATAATTTTTATTCTGTTTTTTATAATATTCTCCATTTTATTTCTCAGTCTTATACTATTGTAGCCTTTATTTTTTCAGTTAATAATTCACTGGATTTCGATATTTTAAGGTCTCTAACAAAAAACAATAAAAACAAAAAACATTATTATAGTTTATATTATTTTTATAAACAATTTGAATACCTGGTTTAGAATTATTTAGCAAAAAAGATTGTTGATACAAGAATAATTACAATTGAAAAAACCCTAATTCGAGAAAACTATTTTGGATATAATTATATTATTCAAAGAAATACTTAGGTATTTATTTGTGATTATAATAATATTTTTGGATAAAAATACTCTAATAAATACCCAGGTTATCAATATCCTTGTATCAATATTTTTCAAGGTTATATCAAAGAAGGATCCCTTATTCTATTTGATAATATATCTAATATTGCTATTAATAAATCTATCCTTTATTTGATATCTTCAAACACTATATTTAATCAGGGAAAAGAGTAATCTTTATAACAAGTCACTTGTAAAGGTTTTCAAGAAATTATAAATAAATATATCGAATAATAGATAGTATTAAGCCATTACAATTTAGTTTTATAGATAATAAA